GTTATGGTGTGTTTACTTTTTAAATAAATGTTATAAATTTGTATTTTATTTTCATGTGTGCTTTTATTATTATGTCTCTTCTAAAAAAAATAATGATAATAAAATGTATGATATTTGTGTTAATTATCTTTAACTTATATTTATTTATATATTTATTTGTATTCAAGATATGGAGATAACTGCTTATGGCTCTAGTGGCAAAGAACAATGTCTAATTGACAGTGCCACAACGCACACCATTTTGAGAAACAAAGAATATTTTTCTCAAATAACATTGATGGAAACTAATGTCAATACAATCTCTGGTGTTGCGAAGCTCATTGAAGGGTCTGGAATAGCTTGTTTAATCCTTCCCCAAGGAACAAAATTAATTATCAAAGACGCATTATATTCCAGCAAATCCCGAAGGAATTTATTGAGCTTTAAAGATATGCGTCAAAATGGTTATCACATTGAAACCATGACAGAAAATCAAAAGGAATACTTGTGTCTAACGACAACCAAATCTGGCAAATTACTTGTGAAAAGATGCCAGCGTATTCCTCGGGGCTATATTATACTCACATTAGTCCCGTTGAAGTGAATGTTATCTCTAATAAAAACTTAGATGATCAGAAAACATTCATTTTGTGGAATGACCGTTTGGGTCATCCTGGCAGTGTAATGATGCATAAAATAATTCAAAATTCACTTGGACATCCATTGAAAAATATAAGGATTCCAAGATCAATTGATTTTCCATGTGTTGCCTGCTCTCTTGGAAAGATGATTGTCAGGCCATCTCTAAATAAAATTGGAGTTGAATCTCTTGCATTTTTTGAAAGAATTCAAGGAGATATTTGTGGGCCAATTGCCCAAGCATGTGGACCATTTCGTTATTTTATGGTGTTGATCGACGCATCAACACGTTGGTCACATGTTAGTCTTTTATCTACAAGAAATTTTGCATTTGCAAAACTCCTTGCTCAAATCATACGTTTGAGAGCTCAATTTCCGGATTATTCAATAAAGAATATCCGACTTGATAATGCATAAGAATTTACATCTCAATCATTTAATGACTATTGCATGTCTATTGGAATTGATGTGGAGCATCCAGTTGCTCATGTTCACACTCAAAATGGTCTTGCTGAGTCTTTAATAAAGCGATTACAATTAATTGCTAGACCATTATTGATGAAATCCAGTTTACCTGCATCTGTTTGGGGACATGCTGTATTGCATGCTGCAAATTTAATTTGGCTAAGGCCTACTGCAAATCATATTTTTTCCCCATTGCAATTGATTACTCGAAAAGAACCAAATATTTCTCACAAAAAAATATTTGGATGTGCCGTATATGTACCAATTGCTCCACCACATCGTACAAAAATGGGTCCTCAAAGAAGGCTGGGAATTTATGTTGGCTTTGATTCTCCCTCAATTATAAAATATCTTGAGCCAATGACTAGTGATTTATTCACAGCTCAGTTTGCTGACTGTCATTTCGATGAGACAGTATTCCCAGCCTTAGGGGGAGAAAATGAGAAAAAGGACCCATGTACGAAAGAGATTACATGGAAAGCAACAGGATTATCTTTTCTTGATGCAAGAACGAATGCATGCGAACAAGAAGTGCAAAAGATAATTCATTTACAAAATGTTGCAAATCAATTGCCTGACGCATTCACGGATTCAAAGAAAGTGACAAAGTCACATATTCCTGCTATGAATGCTCCTGCCAGAATTGAAATTCCTTCAGAGAAAAATGAAAAAACTCTTGCAAATGAGTCTTCAATACGCAAAAAGCGTGGCAGACCACTTGGTTCAAAAGATGTAAAACCAAGAAAACTTAAAAGGCAAGAGACAATACTTGAAACAAAAGACGTTCATTCTTCAAAGAAAGAAAATGAACGAACCGAGCATGTTGATATAAAAAATAATATCAACGAACAATTTGTTTCAAATGAGGATTTAAC